CAGAGCATTCGGATCCCCTGCTGCTGCTGCTGCTCCAGCAGCAGCAGAAGGAGTACTAGCAGCAGCAGCAGCAGCTGCTGCTGCTGCTGCTGCTGCAGCAGCACAGGGATTACACACAAAAAAAAACAGTTTATATTGAATGGAGATGAGATAAAGAAGAAAGTNGCAGCAGCACAGGGATTACACACAAAAAAAAACAGTTTATATTGAATGGAGATGAGATAAAGAAGAAAGTTGCTGCTGCATGCAGCGGTTGCCTGGTCTTTGTTTCGGGGCTGTGAGGCCAGCAGCAGCAGCCCTTGCTGCTGCTGCTGCAGCAGCAGCAGCAGCAGCAGCAGCATTTTCTATCTTTTTCAGATAAACATCGAGGCGGAGAGACTATTGACGTCCCTTTTGCTGCAGCAACAAGCAGCAACACAGCAGCACGATCCCCCCGTAGCAGCCCCCCCAGCTGTACATACACCGCAGCAGGGGCCCCCTGGTTGCTGCTGCAGCGTTCTGCTTCTCTATACATCTCGCAGTGCTGCCTTGCTGCTGCAGGGGCCCCCCTTCTCCTATGCAACAGGCCAACCCCACAGCAGCGACACCCCGCCCCGAAATCCTGTGCTGCAGCTGCAAGCAGCAGCAGCTGCAGCAGCAGCTGCAGCACAAGCAGCAGCAGCAGCAGCAGGTGCAGCAGCAGCTGCAGCAGCAGCTGCAGAGGTTGCAGCTGCAGCGGTGACTTGGTCTCTTACGTGTTGAGGTGTATATACAGCACAGCAATGAAGGGATTGGTTCTTTGTTTCTTCTAGGGTGTACATACACCCCGTGGCCTCTGCCTGCATGCGTTTCTTCTTTATTGAGTCTGTGCTGCCTTTGGATCGTCCCCAGGATGGTAGCGTTGCTGCTGCTGCTGCTGCTGCTGTCTCTCCTCTGCCGCACAGCCTCAGGCTGCTGCTGCTGCCCGCTGCTGGAACGGCCTATAAGGGGGTCTCCTGACGCCACCGCTCGATGCAGCAGCAGCAGCAGCAGCTGCAGCAGCAGCTGCAGCAGCAGCAGCTGCAGCAGGAGCTGCAGCAGCAGCAGAAAGGTCAGACTTCTACTGGGGTGTATCCTTGGTGGCCTCCTCGGTCTGTATATTGGTGATGCAGCAGCCAAGCTGGCGGTGTCAGCAGCAGCTGCTGCTGCTGCAGTGCACCGGCAGCAGCAGCAGCAGCAACAACACCAGCAGCAGCACCAGCAGCAGCAGCAGCAGCAGCAGCAGCAGCAAGGAGACAACACAATCCCTGAAGGCATCGAGCTCATGGAGATCGTCAGCCCCGCCGTAGACAGCCGCCCCAAACTCCTC